TGCACTGATGCCCTTCATGAACAAAGGGGATCTGCACGAGGCAGGGATCAAGGTCCAAACAGATTGTATGCGTGGTCTGTGGATTCTCCCTGTTGTTTCCCCAGTTCTTCCTCTTGGTAAACTCAGTCAGTACTCTTTTGCTCTCCTACAGGGGTGCATCCACAGAAGCCGCATCCAAACCGTTTCCTAGATAAGGGTATCCATTCTCTCCACCTGTTCTCTGAACAGAAGCCACGCATTTGTCCAGTCTGAGTCTAAGATAGTCTCCACCCCGCCTGTATATAGTGGCTTGCACGTCCCATAGAACACCTGGGGATAGCGGTTTGGGGGGTAGTGAAAACCATCTTAAACTCCAGAATATGGGTGAAACCATGATACGGAATCAACCCTTTCCAAAGAAGGCCCTAACACTGGGGGCGCTTCTAGGCTAGCCTTGATAGTGGCAACCTGGGAATTCCCCCCTTGTGTCTTCAATGCTGGCTTCCTCGTGGTTGCGTGCTTGACTGGTGACTGGAAGCACTTGTTTCCTCAGACACCTAAACCACCTGGAACAAGAGAAAGCTTAGCAGGCGTTTTGTTTAGTGGCACGATGGGTGCCAAGCAAGGTTCAAGGTTCTCCCACACCAAACATGCACGTGAGCCATGGGCAAACATAGCAAGCAAACGTGTGGATTCCCTAAAAATTTTGTTTTAAGTAAATCAGCCGGTTTCAAACCATAAAGATCGGTGCAGGTTTTCTTTACTCATTCCAAATCAAAGTTGGTCTACCAACCGCAAGCAATTCTGGGATCCACAAGCAGCAGGTGTCCATCACCATTTCAATGCGGAGTGGGATCGAAAAAACCAAAGCAAGCGCAAGCACCCCTATTTCGTGAGTTATGTTCAACTTCCGAGCACCAATTTTGCCGGCTTTACTGGTATGTTTGATTTCAAGGTTCGCTGAATATGACCTCAGATGTTGCTTTTCAGTGGTGCCTTTTTTTTAATCTTTTTTTTGGGAAGGGTTCCCCTTTAAAGTCAACCAACCAAAAAGGATGCAAAATGGCCACTGGGCGTCTGAGGGTAGATTTCTCCCAGACCTGCAGACAGTCGCTACAGACCCCTAAACCATGCTCCCATTTTAAGACGCACCGATGTTTCCGAAATCCAGGTAACAACATGTTGTAACCTGGGTTCGTAGCCATTTACTATGGCCGCTCAAGTATAATCCCTGCTACGAGTAGCCTCTCAGCCTAGGTGCTCAAGAACTGCTACCACAGCCACGCCTGCCGATGCAACAGGATCGACGGTTTCGTCGAAATAAAACCCCGTTGGCCCCCTCGCCCCCCGAGTTCGTAGACTTTAGTCAATGTTGGGGTTTGGACAATTTTGGTGGCAAACAAACCAAAGTTTGGTTGGCTTTTTTGGCCAACCCACTCAGGAAGTGAAGCCCGCTTGGTGAATATCCCTTCATAAGTCGCCCGATCAGTGGGATTTGTCCCACGTAGAATCCACTTGGACCTTTCTGAGAATATGTTCCCTGGGACTCATCACAGGGTTGCTGGCTGGTTCCCCGTGTTCAAGGGGGGGGTTCTTTTGCCCTCCCCAAAAAACAGCCATTTGCAGCATATTCGCTTAGAAATCTGGTCGTTATTTCCCCCATGTTTTTTTTTTTAAGGGAGTTCTATCAAACAACTTGCAGGATGGTCTGTCGCGGGGCTCCAAGGAAAGCCCCGCTTGGAGGGGGGAAACATAACTTTGTGTCTACTGCTGGACATGCCGTTGATGAAGAAGAACTCCAGCAGCTTGTAGATGAAACCCTATAAGCCAGCTACGAACTATGGGATTTGCACCAGCTACGAGGTGCAGCATTTGGTCCATCCAAAGTGTGTGCTCATGTTTCTCCAAAAGGGGGACTCTGCAAATGGATGACGTCAAACCTGCACGGTGGCAGTTTTTCTTGGGCAGACCGAACCGGTTCTGCAGGTTCCTTCTGTGGAGGGGGCAACTCATTGTTCAGGGGTTTGTTTGGGGTCAGTTGATCAGGTAGCCCTTGGTAGTTTGCATTTGTGGGAACTAGGTCAATGGGAAACCTGCCCCCAACACTAAAACACAAATCCAAACCAAGTAGAGGGAACCTGAGTTGACCCTGGATTTGAGCAGAACTTGGCGGATTAATAGGCGGAGCGGTTGAAGGACCCCCTCTAAAGGACACCACCCTTTGAATCAACAGGTTTATTTCTCCCAAGCCCCAATTGGCAGTTCGGAGACAAGGGGCTACCTTTCTAGGTCCCCCAGTAGTGTTTATATCCCCTAAACTCATAATTGAGTATACGAGGTGATTGTGTCGGATTCCCACCAAGAATGACCACTGACAATATCCGGATACAGTTGGGAGGCATCTGACATTTTACGTGACCAGCATGACTCGAAATAAACAATGTGTTCCTAGTGGTTCATACTTCTGCCTAATTGGCCTAATTGCATGTTCTTTGGGGGGCTCTCCGCCAACAATGTCAACCCCAAAGAGCAAGACATGCTTCCGATTCTTGTTCTAATGTTGACTTCTGAAGAATCCAGAGGGCCCTATCAGTCAGAGGCAACCCCAAATCAGATAAAACGGCTGTACTAAAAGGCGAACCACCACTGATTTCGGGTCACTGACTGCAATCTTTTCGAAACAGGCCCAGCTTCAATCCTCAGTCTTCGTGGCAGCGGGATGTATGTCCGTCCCAGTGCCTGCCAGTTGCCTCTGCTCATCTTTGTTGAGAATAAGTATTTTTTGTGGTTTGAAAGGAGACCAAAAGGACAGCCACCGTTTTTGAGGGGTCCCTAAAAAGTTGACACGCCCATATCCGCCCTTATGCTTCTTTGCCATGGATTCGGGTGGACCGCATTTGTGCCGATCACTTCTTATGGTTATTTTTTCGTCTCAGCGGGTTGGTTTCAGAAATCCAGCTTTGGGCTCGGCGATGGGGTTGCTTCTGTTATAACGAAGGGAGCCACTCGGGAGCCAACAGTGAGACTTCAAAGATGGGTTGCGAAAATGAGCATAAACTGAAAAGACTAAGTGGTAGTTGCGGCCTTCATTCCTCTTGGCCTGTACATGCTGAGAGATGTACCCTCTCACCATCGAAGTGCAAACAAACCCCCGGTCGACAAGGTTACAGTCATGTTCCCTTCAGTGCATCAAATCATGCTTGTACCCCAAAAAAGACACACCTATTTTGCTCAATCTGAAATGTGCCCCCGTGATCTTTTGAATCTGTTCTACCATTTGCTCCCAGAGTTCCTGGACTTGCATGTTGGGTTCGACCACTCTAGTGGCAGACAGAAAGTTGTCCAATCGACCTAGAAAGTGAGGTAATGGCTTTAGTGAAGGCAACTTAAACGGGCCCAAAGGAAACGGGATGACCCCCAAAAATGGTTGGTTTCCCTGTTCCCCTTTCAACCAACCTCATGTCCCCCCCCCCCACACCCCCACACCACCACCCCCACACCACCACCCCCACACCACCACCCCCCGCACCAACACCCCCACACCACCACCCCCCGCACCAACACCCCCACACCACCACCCCCCGCACCAACACCCCCACACCACCACCCCTGGTTCACCTATTTAAAAGCAATGGCAAAGGGCACTCGACAACCCCAAATGGCCTCAATCCGACGCCAGGCAGCCGGGAGAGGAGCTTTGCTGGGAGGCCCTTGGCCGTCCCTTCAGCCTGGACATGGTGCTGGCGCTCTTCCTTCAAGTCATGAAAGGCGAGGTTGGTGCCCTTTCTCACCCAGTTTTCCCGGTTTTTCTTTGGGTTCACCGGTTTTCCTGGGGGTTTTAGTGGTTCCCCTACTAAATAGACCAAACCATCAGCTTTGACCAACTGGGTTTTCCAGTAGTGCCATGTAGTGCCCTTTCTTTCACCATTTTTTTTGGTTGGGGAGGCTTCGGGGCCCTACTAAAATAGATATGTGTCGGGGGGTAGACTGAATATGTCTAGGTCCCCCAGCAATTGGTGCCCTTTCTTTTAACGAATCTTTTTTGGTTGGGAGGGTTCCCCTGCTAACACAGGCCACCAGTCTGTCGTGCACGTGAGCGTCGTAGCTTGACAATTGTTCGTCTAGGTCCCCCAATGGTGCCCTTTTGCCATTTCTTTTTTGGTTGGGAGGTTCGGGACCCTACTAAATTGATCATTACGTGTCGGGGGTAGACTGAATATATCTAGGGACCCTAAAATAGACAGAAAGAAGTTGGTACCCGTATTCTAACCTCTCTACTGGAGAACCTAGAAGGCGAGTCGAAGCGAATCGGATTCGAATCCATCAGAAGCAATGCGTCCGAGTCGCTCCCTGAGTTCATTGTTTCGCGCTTGGACCATGTTGGCGGCAGCGACAAATTAGGGAAGGGGAGATAAGTAGGGGACTCCCCATAACAAATGGGTGGCTCGTCTATTTTGACACACACCCAAATGGGTGCAGCCGCCCTTTAAATTATTTGGCATCTTGCCCCCCCCTTTTGTACCAGGCTTCGATTGTGACTCAAATGTCCAAAGAGAATCCACCGGTTAACTGTGCTTCCCGCTCTCTCTCTCTCTCTCTCTCTCTCACCCTTCAAAAACCGCCTACTGTCCCTTGGGTGCAATGCGCATCAATTGAAGCAGGTGTGTCTTGACATTGGGCGCACCCAAAAAGGATTTCGGCAGTGTTCTTTTTGATTTGCTGACAAGACCAGATGCCCTCAAAACAGGGCCCCCCCACCCAAACATGTCCAAAGCGATTCGACTTGTTCACGTCACTTCGTGTGATTCCAAGGAAATCTCCTCCAAAGTGATGACGAATATCGCCTATTTTGAGGAACTACACTGTGAATAAGTCCTTTGAGTGAGGATGGGTGAAAAGGAGTTTCTCACTTTGGTTTTTTGTTTGCGAGTTTTCCTTTCACTTTACCGTGCGATTCGACCTGTCTCACGGACGATTTCCCTTTTTGGACACTATGGCCCCCCTCTTGGATGTCCCTTTTTGGGTGTGGTGATGTTTTGTTCTCTAACACAACCCAAACAAAAGTACGATTCAAAGCCAAAAACCCGTTTCATTTCCAGGACCCTTCGTTTCCAGTTTCTGGACGTACTTTTGGGAAGATTGTGTTAGTGTCTCTGGACGTGCTTTGCTTACCGAAGAGGCTTCCACCGGCCACTCGTGGGCGGGAAACTCACTTTACCAGGGTTCCTAAGGGATCCATGACCAGGATCCACAGAAGCAGTTTGGACCATAGCATGGGTAAGGCGAGCTCACCCATAAAGGGCGTGTCATGCACTCACTCCTCAGGGTTTGGTTGCCCTATCGACCTTGCAGGTGAGGTGCCGGTGGGTTTGGGTAGTCCACGTCCTACCGGGAAAGGACCCAGTGAATCCCAGTCACTGTGCCAAAAGCCATAGAAAAATACCTATGGGCACTGGGCACCCGCCTTCGAATCAACGTGTTCCGATCGTAACTGTTGGCTCAGAACGTGTTCAGGTCGATGTGCTTTGAGTTAAAGTCATGGGCGCGTCGTTTGAGGGTACCCCCTGTTTGGTGGTGTTCAAGGGAAGCCAGCAGGAAGCCCATCCATTTTTATTTATTTATTTGTTTATTTTGTTGGGGGGGTCCGAATAAGAAGAAGAAAGAGACCTGCAGCATCCGATTGGGTGTGTCTTAAAATAAGGGACCCCCAAAGAATGTGAGTTTGCCTTTGGCTTCCCTGTAAACTTAAGCCCCAAAGCCACATAGAACCTACACAGGGTCCTGCAAAACCATGTTCCTTAGGGCACCGGTCGAATCCAGTCGAGGTTCAATGGAAAGCGCTTGTCGAGGTTCCATTTGCTTAAGAACTTGGTTTTATTTTGCAGGGCTCCTTAAAAGATCTCCATTTTGCCACCATTTGAAACATGGTTTTTTTCCGCCAAAATAAAGGGAAGCCACCATTTACAAGGCAATGTTCAGGTGTATCATGTAAGGATCCCTGTTGTTTTTATTTTGCCTTGTTGGTTTTAAAGGGAATCTATCACTATTGAACATATTTTTAGTTTGTCCAGGGAGCTTAAGCAAACCAAGAGGGAGGCCGAAGAGGACTTTGCCAGTCAGGTGTAAGAGCCATGCACGAGCATCACATCGTGCACATGGACTTGCGCCTTCGCCGCAAGTGCACTGAGAACTCACAGGTTCAAAAAGCGAATCGAAATGACAGAAACTTTTGGCTTCCCCTTCTTTGTCTCTGTTTAGTGCCAAAGTGCATCGACCTTTTGACCTTTAGTTTTCTCTTGTTTGGTTTAGTCTTAGTGCGCCCTAAAGATGATCACCTTTTGTTGACGGTAAAGCTGACAGTACAAGGGGAGGAAACTGTGGTCTTGGGTTTGTTCACTGTTTTATTGGGTTGTCGTTTGGTGTTCTTTGCGTTTCTTTCCGTTTTCCTTTGGCTTCTTTGGGGTTTCTTTGGGATTGTTTTTTTGGTGCGATTCGGGTTTATTTGGTTCCTTTGTTGGTGCGTGGGTTTTCTCCGGGTCTTCGGGTTGACATCAAAGCATGTCAAGCATGGGCGACCCCCAACGAGCCCCCTCCCCAACGGAAGTTAACCAATGCGTTGCGAGTGCGTGCCAAAGTGGGGGACTCATAGAAAATGATCCGAGTTCAACTTGAACCGCGGTGCAAAGCAACTGGCGCGAATGCCGTGATCAGACCTCCGGTGGTGCCCTTCGTTCATTTGTTGCCGGCGTCCTTCTAGACTAGGTCCCCCAGCTAGGTGCCCTTTTACCCTTTGGGAACTACAGAAAAAAAGTTGGTACCAACTTATTCTAACCTCTCTACTGGACCTAGCCCACTTCTGTGATACCTTCGGGAATGCCCTCTTTAAATGGCGGGGTTTAGCCTTTGGGGGACCTTTGTGTTGCATCACAGAAGTGGATTCCATTTCCCACAGCCCTGCTTAACCTCCTTCAGGCTAGGTACCCCCAAGGCCGGAAAAAGAAAACCACGCGCTTGCGAGCCTTTCGACCGCCTCGGGAAAACCACCGCAGGGTGGCAACATGAATTCCGTCCTGTGGTTGAAACATGGAATTGGCCACCCAACCCCTGGAAGGCAGGGGGGACCCTTTTGGTGACGCACTTCAAAAGGGGGAAAATCACGCATACTGCAGAATCGACTTCAGAAGGGCAGGGAACCCATCCTTTGGGCAAAATTGGGACCTCTCATTTTGGACAATCTTCATTGTTGTATGTGGGTGTGGCTCAAAATTAAGCAACTGGGGTTACGCGGGTTTTAGTCTACCTGTCCATTTACCAGGGTTCCATTTTGGACCACCATTTTTTAGCCACACCCATGTGTCAAAAAATAAGGCCCAAGATGGTGGGTTGTGCCCTTTGAACGTTTTTGTAAACCAGCCAGGGGTTCCAAATCCGAAGCACAAGTTGGCTCCCGTTCCCATACCACCTTGGCGCGTTGTTCGTTTCGCAGGAAGCCTGAGAACGTCATGCTGCACTGCAACTGGGCAAAACAACAAAGTGCAGGTGGAATCTCATAATCTCTGCCGTGGTTGGAAGGGAGGAGCTGGAGGCCTCCAACTTCGACGATCAAGCGGGAGCTAGGGAGCCACCAGCTCTGTAAGGACATGGTGGACCATGTCTTTACACGGCGCACATGTTGGGATCCATTCCAAGATGTTTCTATCCAAGGGGTGCCCACGAAGGGCCACGGAAACGGGAGCCCTTCTCAGGCAGTGGGAGTCAAGTTGTCGCCCCACTGGGATGTCCGACCGATTTCAAGGTACGTAGGTTGCTCCGCCATGGGTAAGGGGAAGTACCCGTGGCACCAGCTGTAGCCATGGTTTTCTCAGCCGGTTGAACATCCAAGTACCCCGGCAACTGATGAGTTTGGCCGGTTTTTGCGCATGCGATTACGGGGAAATGATTCGAATCCACTGGGCCCCGGAAAGCGCAACCATATGTTTTCGAATGCGGGGGTCCCGGGTTTGGATTTGAATATCTGTGTGTTGTGTTGATAGGCCCTATGCGGGTAAACTAATGGGACCCATTCATTCGCAATGGGTCCGAGTGTCCCATCTTGAGACTGGAAGAAATTGTGCCATGTTCTTTCACTCACTTGTAGGTTGCGTTGTGTTGAGCATGTTCTTGGTTTTTGCAAAAAGGACACTAAATGGGGGAGGGTCTGAATTTGGCCAAAACCAGTAGCTAGTAGGTGTTTGGGTCCAGAACGCCTGCACCCTGTGACTTAGCAAGCAACCACGTGTAGAGTCTCGTGCTTGCTTCCCCCCTTTGAGGTTCCAGGTCAATTTGCGGGGGAGTACCTGTTGAATGTGTTTTACTTTTATGTTTGTTCTGTTCTCCCTTATAATCACCAAGCCTTAGTCAACGTGTGGCACCCTGATCAAAGTGGCGACTAATTTTAAGAGGGAACCCTAAATCATGCACCGCAAGGTCCCCAAAGAAAACTCGCACCCAAACCGCTTAGGCGAACTAGTCGACCGGCCGCACTGACCACCATCATTCTAGGGCTGAAGTTTGCCCAAGTCTATTCCAGCAAATCCCAATATATGTATAGACAAAAATTGGGGGGGGTGTTTTTCTTTTGGGCACCCCCCCAAAAAAAAATGTTTTCCTTTTTCCCCTTTAAACACTGAACCAAAAAGAAAGAAACACGGGGCCCCTCAAAAAAAAAAGGACGCGCCGCCCCCCCCCCCCCCGCCCGGATCGCCGGCATTGCCAAGGCACCGACGGGCACTGCTACGCGCGCGTGGTGGACCTTGGGCTGAGCTGCCGCAGCGGTCGCAACTGCCACTCTCTGGGCACGCGCCTCGACAGTGACGCGAGCGGCCCTAAGGGACCCCCACATGGTTGTTGTTGGGAAACATTTTACATTTTTGCTCATTGTGGTTTAGTGGGAAATCCCCACGTAACTGCTAAAGTTTAAATGTTTGCTCCCCTTCCAACGTCAACCAAGCCAAAAAAGGGGGGGGATTTGCCCTTTTTGGTTGGGAGTAGTGTTCGGGGCCCTACTAAAATAGACTACAGAAAAAAGTTGGTACTCTTATTCTAACCTCTCTGCTGGAGGACCCAAAACGGGGGGGAGGGGGGGCCTTCAGTGTGGGCGGCGGGGGGCAAAGAGTCGTAACTCATGGGCACGCGCCTCGAGTGAAAGGCCATCAGTGGGCCCTAGGAACTCAGAGCGTAGCTCCTTGAGCCCTGGGCTTTCATGGACCTAACTTCGGTGCCTTCTGCCAAGGGATGTTAGGACTGAACAGCTTTTTGATCCAACGAAGGTGTTTTCCGTATTAAACCACCAAAAGTTAGTCACTTTTAGCAGGGCTTCGCAGGCATGGACCGGGGGGTGAACTGGAGAGGGGCGTAACTCCCAAAACGCCCTGAAGGGGCTGATCAACTTGGCTTCTCCTGGGCTCATCCAGGATAGCCCCCCCCCTTTCGCCCCTGCAGCTCCATGGTGGAAAGTGGCCTAGTCGATGATCAAATCTCGGAATGGGCGGCACGTCTTCTTTTGGAGTTGGTACCCTTTGTCGGGTGGTGTGAAAGGGAAACGGAGACGAAACCCACGTATTTATTTATTTATTGATTTATTTATTTATTTATCTATTTATTTACTTATTTATTTATTTATTTATTTATTTATTCTAAATTTATTTATTTATTGATTTATTTTATTTATGTATTTATTTGTTTATTTATTTTATTTGGGGGGGGAGGCAGTGTCCCTCAACAACCATTATGGTTGTGGGAAATTGGGTGAGTCCCCAACAGCTGGAAGCTATTGGGTCGCTCCCAAAAGGCTCTGGGGTTTGGGTCAGCTTCAGGGAGGGTTCCAGAGACTTCCAGGGCTGTTGGGGGCCACTTGTCCTGTTGGTTTCAATGGAAACTTGAGCAAATGGACCTAATTTTAATGGGGGAGCAGGCCTGCATCAACCTTCATAATAACCTTGGAGCCAAAAGCCAATGGGTGGAACGCCTTTCCCATTCTGATCATGTTTAGACAAGAGTCAAAAAGGCGTTCACTGTTGACTCCCGTTATCCTTATGTGGGCGTCTTTTTGACAACTACTGTGGATGGACAAACTCCGCACCACTTTGAGACAAAGGGAAACCATTGCTTGTTAGGTATTTGCAGGGGAATCATCGTTCAAGGGTTTCTTGGGTGCTGCGGGAAAGCATCCACAGTTTCACAAGGATTTGTTTTTGTCTCCAAATAGAACAACCCCCCGCCACATAGTGGTGCCCATGACAGAGCAGCAACAACCCTCTCCCTGAAAGAAAATTGAGTGGCGCAATAACATGATAGGAGTGGGTGTCTTGGGCCCTTTGGCTGAGCTTGGACGGAAATTCCCAATTGCAAGAAACCGTGGTTTTTTTTTGGGGGGGGGAGAAGCATTGGCGTCTTCTCCCGAAAAATAGTTCAGCGATTCGCGGACCGGCGAATCGCTGCAGTGCCGAAGAATGTGGGATTTCCTCGTGGTTTGCGACGACAGACCCTATAGGGGAAGCTTCCAACCATGCTGAATCCAGGGACTCGAATCTTTTCCAGAAACAAACAAATTCCCAACAAGAAGCAGCAATCGGTTATTGAAATGAACGATGGTTGACAAAGAATGCGGAATCAACCCCTAGACGAATTGGTCAGACGAATTCAGAATCGGGCTCCTCATTCACATTCTTGCTTTGTTCCCCTTTGGGGGTAGGTTTCCTTCATGTTCCACCCCTTGCAAGTAGGTGTCCTTCATGTTCCTCTCCTTTTAGGTAGGTGTCCTTCATTTTCCTTTTGAACCGGCAAACGTGTCACTTTGTGGGGTCAGACCCGTGCCCAGTTTCAGCTTCAACGGCATACATCCCAAGCGGGGGGGGGGGGGATGTGTGTGTGTGTGTGTGAGAGGTGATCCGTTTAGGTGAAGGGGATTTGGGACCTTCCATTTGCGATGCCTCACTTGCCCAAGTTCCTGGTCTTTATACTGTTGGGGACGACCATTTTGGCCAACAAAGCAATCCGGACTATTGCGGGCCAACCCACTCAGGAAGTGAGATTCAGAATATGTTTGATTTTCTCTTCTTGGTTTTAATGGGAATCTGGGAATCGGTTTGATTGCTGGAAATCGTTCAGGGGACTTGAGCAAAGTTCCAGAACCCCACCGTTGGTCGCGAGGGTCGGCTACATCGCCCCAGAGGTTTGGAAAGGTGTGCGTGTCTCGGCTGGGCGAGCGCGTGGAGCGGTGTTTTGGGAGCGAGCGCAGTGTCTTTTGGCATCCGAGAACTCGCTTCCTGAGTTCGTGGGCGTGTTACTTGTGGGGAAGACGATTTTAGTGGCACTTTTTCAGTTTGGACTTTTCTTGGAACAAAGTGAGATGAGGGATCCAATCGAGGGAACAGCGGCCGTGACCCATGCACGGTTGCTCTCTGTTGCTCCCTTAGCCTTGCTTTACTTTTGAAGTTTGCAAAATGGTGTCCCTACTACTTGTGGCTTGGGCCAGAATCCAAATTCTTAGGAGCCTGACTTAACAAGCTTGTAGAGGGATGGGTTGTATTGCCCACAAACCATCCAGCTAGGTGATATATGGTATGTTGATCATCCCCCCGGTTGAATCCCTTCTTGAGGAAGGACCCCAGGAAAGAGCATGTGTCCTGATTTCAGGCTTTGGGATTGGCTGAAGCAATTGACGTCTTGTGAACAAATCTGTTGGGCCGAAAGACTGGTTCCTTTGCGGCATGTTGCAGGATCCGGATGTTCATCACCCCTTAGGGACTCTCGGTCCAACATTGGGATTCCTATGAAGAGAACCGCGACCATGACTCCGAGGCGGAGCATTGAGCATGGCACACGTGTGTGCGGGAGGCATGGGTCCTGCTTCTTCCCTTTCAAGCCAGTTTAACTGGCTGGGTGTGGGGATGAGCAATGGGGACCGTGAAGGACCGTAAGGGACCCCCAAAGGGTGGGGTTTTGGGGGGGGGGTTGCGGGCGGCGGGGGTTGTGGCAAAGACCCAGCTAGGTGCCCCATTTGCCCTTTTTTGGTTGGGAGTGTTCGGGACCCTACTAAAATAGACTACAGGAAAAAGTTGGTACTCTTATTCTAACCTCTCTGCTGGAGGACCTAGGGCCCTTCTTTGGGGGAGGGTTCCCCTACTAAAATAGACTACAGAAAAAAAGGGCACCCCTATTCCAACCTCTCTACTGGAGGAGCTAGAATAAGCAGGGGTCAAACATCACTCACCGCTGGGGTTCAAGCCATCAAGACGATGGGGGCTAAGATAGCCAGCGCTATTTGCCTGAATGCTATCATGCAAAAAGTGGGTCCTTGCCATTGGCTTGGTACTGGCCCCCATGATTTTTTCCCATCAGAGTCACTGTAGCTTAAAGAGAAACTTGAGCCTCAACTTTCTGACTTGAACCCCTAGAGCCCCTTTCCAAGTGGAGCCCTCATGAGCCAAGCCTTGCTGGAAGTCTCGCTCAGGCGTGGGCGTCCCGGCGAACGACGTGTTCTCCTTAGGCGCTCCTTGACTGGAACTCTCCGCTTCAGGTTCCATCCTCCAAATCCTTCATCGCCTGCGAGCTGGTTGCTTTCTGACCCAGGAACCCACCTTTTGTTCATCCAGGGGTGCACAGGTTGCGTTTTGTTGGGAGGGGTTCCTTTACTTTATGGCGCATTGTTTGGAAACGGCTCTTTGGACTGTTTTTTCGGGAAGCAGCGGATGTTCAATTGCACCCACAACAAGTTTGTGTTTTTTGCACAGGGGTCAACAGCAACCAAGAACTGTAAGCCCATTTCAGGGTTCCAACCGAACCCCCAGGGTAGAAATGTTCACAGTTCTCTTTGTGTTTCCTTTCCTCTTGGGGACCAAGTTTCTAGCTGAGCATTGTACCTTGTGCCTTCTTTGGCCTTCGGCATCATTTGGCCTCAAACCTCATTAAGGGAGGGTAATGGTAGTGTCCCTGAATGTGGAGTGAGCAGCAGAGGGATCTCTTCTGAACTTAGGTCTCAAGGTTTACTCAGTATGGACCACACTCAAACAAATATATTGTTTGCTTGGGGACAAAAGCTGAGGTATAGTGTTGGGAACCCCTTTTCAAACCCGTTTCCTCCAAAATATCTAAACGTGTGCCAACTGTCCCTGTTAGCTTATCGGCTTGGTGCACCAACTGCGTGTTACTTACTATAAGTTTGGAGCCCAACCACATCCAACCACAACACCATGGTAGCATATGGCCAAGTATCCTCACTTCCCGAGTTCCTGGACTTGATATTAGTTAAACAAAAAAATTGGACTTGCTTTGGCCACAGGAAGTGAGTGGGGGGTGTCTCTTGTTCTCTTGCAACACTCGCCGTGGGTCTCGAGCTAAGGTCATCCTGTACATGCTGGTGGTGGGGCACCCGCCGCCCTTCCACGGTGACCGCGACGGGGAAAGCACCACGCACTACAAGCCACACCTGGATCGATACATCAGGCAGGGATTTGACGATTCGACCGCAGCGAAGCGACGTCCCTTAACCCAGTTACGCAAAGCGAATCGACCGTGAACCCGTTGATTTTCCTTGTTTGGCAACCATGTTTAGTCATGGCACCGAAAGGTCAAACTTGTATTTCTGAATCTGAACTTGGGTGTGTGTGTGTGTGTTTGTTGTGTTGGTTTGTCGTTGTTGTTGTTTTGGGTCGACATGTTTTTGGTTATTCGGACAAACCTTAACCCCAAGCGTGTTGCTTCGCTTTGTTCATTTTTTTGTTTGAGGGGTAGGCCGAATTGAAATCAACCAACAAGGTGCCATAAAAAGAGTGGCCTTTTTGTTTGCATTTGTTCTTTTTACAGAAAGGGATGAACCTTAGCACAGCTGAACTAAGACACCTAAGGTCAGGCTTCTTTTTCCGCAAAAGCAATGCGATCAACAGACCAAAGTGTCAATTGCTGACAACACTTTACTGCTTTTTGCTAGGTGCACTGGCGGATGACCCGAATCTCAACCCAGGCCTCCAGTGGTGAAATTCACCATGGAAGTGCAGAGATCTTTTTGGGAAGCGCGAAAGCGCGCTAGGCTCTTCGCCTTTCTTTCTCTAGGAACGTTGCAAGCGTCCAACCAGAAAACCCTGGCTAAATACCACATATTCACAACTCGGATTTATGTTGGGGGATATTGAATCCAAATCGAGTCATGGTCATAAGAGAATGACGTGTGAGTATTTAGCCCCTGAGAATGCGGTGTTAAATCGTGATTTCCCCGACTTCTCTACTTGCAATATTTTTGGATGGACAATACTGCGCCCCGGTTGGGATGGATGAAGCCCTATACTGGGACAACGCTTCTGCCAACTGCCAAGTGTATTTTGTCTATCCACAGTTTGGAGGGCCTATCGTATCATTGAGTTGTTTGCAGTCCGTTGGCTTCCTGTTTTGTTTTTGTTTTTTGTGTCAATGGGGCGCTCAACCCTATCACAGGAGAAAAAAAACGCCGCACAGGATGTACTGTTCTAGTTCCGATCTGCGAATTACTCCTTTCCAGCAATCGCGGAAGTGGACAAGGGGCTTCCTCCTGCAGCTTCCAGATTTTTGCAGGAGTATAAAGTATACTGCCCACATGTGCCGAGTTATATAAGATTCCTGGGGCATCTTCCATCCGGGGTGTAAACAGATGGATCTTTCTCTAAATAAGGGAGCCTGGTGCTCGGTTTTTATTTGGTTCCGGGGCACCTATTTTGACACACCATTAAAACAACATACCCTTTAACAACTATTTTGAGACGCCTCAAAAAAAGGAAATGCCCTTTAACACCGATGTTGAGATGCCATTAACAAAACACACCCTTTAACACCTGTTTTGAGACGCCACAAAAATGAGACGCAAAAAAGAAAGCAAAACAACAACAACACATACATATATATATATACATATATATATATATACATCCTTTTGATCCCTTCTGTTGCCCATACGTCCCCAAGCAAAGCCACCAGCAAGGCCTTGGTTCCAGCGGCCCCTGGGCCATTTGATGGCGAAGATGCTGAACCTCAGGCGAGGTGCGTTGGGATCATTTGGGTGTTCAAACCACTTGTTACGCAGGTTATAGCCATATCTATGCCTGGTAACTGGGCTGATCGTCCCTTTGTAAGCATGATTATTTCTTACTTAGTAAGTTGGTTAAACATCCAGTATGGTTGTGAAAGTAAGAGGGTAGGAATTGCCCACTTTGGTATCACAGAACGGGTTATGTCCCACAACCCATGTCGCATGCCAAGTCAGGGAACAAACCTCAACTTTACTATGAGGGCCTAAATCATTTGCGGGTGAGGGCGGTTAAACCCCAATTGTGCCATGATAGAACACGAGATTCGCAAGCCTCGGAGGCCTGAGGATTTCTGGTGCATCTTGCCTGTCTTCCCGTTGCCCTCAAATTGCTGGTGCCCTGTCTCAGAATCATTCCATCCGACACAGCAGAAAGTTGGTTGGACCAAGAAACACCCAACGACGCGTGGTTTGGCCTCTGAAGTTTCGAGCAATCCGATGCCAAGCCGCTGCAGGTAGTTGAGATTCAGTGCCCTGGAATGATTTTTGCAGGCTTCCCGATGCTTGGCAAGGGCTTTTCTTTGCGCATCACCTTGGCCAACACGTGGAGTTGCATGTAGCCAGTCCAGTTTTTCCAGGGCGTTGATTTGTGTAAGAGCGACCTGAGAGACCGGCACCCCGTCAGACTTGAAGTCAGCCTGAGCCACCTTTGAAGTCAGGGTGCCTGTCTCCCAGATTCAACCCTAGCAAATTGGGAGTGTTTTGTTTAAAATTTGGACCCCAAAAGGGCAGAACAATTTTTCTTTTAGGATGCAAAAGAAAGAGTTCCCTCAAAAACAGACATACCCGCTGGGCGCTAGTACTGGGGGATGGAATCCACCTGGCATAGTTGTGATTGGTGGTTGATCAACCAGTCAGATCGGGCTTCATCCATCCCAACCGGTGCGAAGCGACTTTGTCCATCAGCACATCAGGATAAATCTACTAAGGGCCAAGGGGGATGGATGTTCTTCCTTTTCAGGGGACCCTTTTGGGATAGTTGCCACGCGAAACCAAAACTCCCTTTTGTGTTTTGTTTTTTTTTGGGGGGGGGGAGCGTGCCCCACCAGAACCCCCTCTTCCGCCCTTTTTTGGGTACGCGAATCCACGGCTTCGAGGCCCCTTCGACGGATTCCCCTGGAGAGGGCCATTGACGAGTTGAAGGCACGGCGGGCGACACATTCGAATCTGAGCGCCGAAAAGCGCCAGCGTTGTTGGCCGGTGCTGCTAGGCTGATTTGGGCCAGATCCCAAAAAATGTCGATGGATGGGCGCCTCTCAGAAACCACTGGGCGTGCTGTTGGTGTTTGGGGAAAATCGATAACACCGCAAACACTAAGTACCCCCTGGAACAAAAAGCACCGGTTGAAAGAAGAAGACATGGTCCAACCCAAACAAGAAAAGGAGAGTGTTGCTTTCCCTAAGGCAAGTCCCCTTGTTGCGGCTTCTCCTTTTTGTGGCCAACACCACTGGATTTCGCTTTCGGTGTATCCCAAGACGAGATTTGATTCATCTCTTGGGACCCAAATGCAACTCCAACGGGTCCCAAAGAGATTTTGTGTCCCAATCTTCGTTTTGTTCGACCAGGGTCACTAAACAAATGGGGGCCTATCCTTGGATGTCTTCGATATTTTTTGGAGTGGTTCAAAAACCTTACGACATATGGACCGGGTATTAATCAGATTTCTTTTAGTTGGGGCAAGGGCTGAAGTTTGCGATGGCAAAGGGCAGGTATCTCACGACAGAGTTGGTCAACATGGCTCAGTCGTTTGGCGATGTTTGCCTTTGAGTTGGCAGATGTCACCATTGACCAGCACAAAATCGCAGGCGTTGCCCGAGTCTGAGTTTAGGAAGTAATCAGGTGAACTCGATGGCCGTGTTCCATCCTAGAGGGATGTTCTGGAGTTGCTTCTCAAAATCGTTCCAGCACCCCGCCAACCACAGCTCTTTGGGATTGTGGACATGGGAAGGAGTTGTTGGGGGAGCTGGTGTCCTTTTGTTTTGGTTTTTTGCCATCCAAGAAGGGGTCTCTACCATTTCGAGAATGGAAGGCCCATCTCTCCAGGTCACCAGGTCCCTGAAAAGCGGAATTGGGGAGGGGATTCCACCCCTACGAGCTCACCATGGTGGTCAGATAGGGGATCCATGTAGTATTCCACTTGTTTGGGATGTACGTGGGAATCCATGCATCATGCCAGTTGGTTACGATGTATCATCGAGTTTGCAGAAGTACAAACCTCACCCCGCCAAACCTCGCATTCATTTGGCCCAAGAGAGCGTCACGGGGTACAAGTTCAAAGTACCTCCTTCAGTGCTAGACCCAGTCTTTCTCGATCGCGAGGGGATCCTGCTGAACCGCAACCTGAGCCAGGACACTCGTCAACGTGCGCATGTCTTCAAGAAAGTGAGCCCCTGTTGGTGTTTGAAGGGGTAAACTGCCAGGAAACCAAACCTTTTTCTCGGAGACTTCAAAGTAACACCAAACAGGTGGAACCACCAGTGGCGGCGTTCCTGTTTTTTAGAGACATCCTAATCTGTTTATGTTCACTGTGGGTCTGTCTGTTGAGTTAGTACAATAGCCTTTTGGGGTCGTGGTGGGTTCCCCGCAGCAATCCCCTGTATGATTTGCCGGAAAGCCACAGGATGGACTCTGAATGGGCATGTCTCATGTAGCGTGTCTTTTCGAAGCGATTGCGATCCAAGAGTGCCTCGAAAGCTTTCTAGGAAGAACCATGTTAGTGAGAGACAAGCAAGTTCAGAAATGTTTGTTGACCAACATCCACTCACTCAGGAAGTCAGACATATACGGTTGTTACGCTTGACACCATTTTACTTACGCTTATATCTTTGCCCTTTTTGGCATGACCACGGATCAATCGAGTTTTCTAGCGGTTGATTCCCCATTCTTTTCAGCCATCGTTCTTTTCAAAACCGATCGCCATTTCCCCAGGGTTTTTGGTGGTTTTCCAGAAGGAAGGATCCCTGGAAAGAATGGAAATGGAAGCTACCCTTAGAAGTTTGGTTTCCCCACACGCCGTATTATTGTTTCGCACGCGTCATATGGACACCTGCGTCAATTTTCATGCAGCGCCTCGGAAGAGCCAAGGGACCGGTGGACTTCTCCATTTGCTGGGGTTCCATTTTGGGTCCACCGATAGGTCCAGCGAGTCGTGCTCTTTCTCAGCGTTTCTTCTTTGGGAGGGAGGGTTCGGGACCCTACTAAAATAGACTACAGAAAAAAGTTGGTACCCTGATGCTAACCTCTCTACTGGAGGACCTAGGATATTGACCAGCCAGTTCAAGGCAAGCACAGATCGTTATTTTCCTAGGCCCCCAGTGCCCGTTCTCACCCACTTTTTTAGTTGGGAGGGTTCCCCTACAAAAGTAGCCTACTGATGCATCCGACAGGTCTAAGTATCCATTTTCTGGCTACGCCGCTTGCAAGATTTAGGGTACACGTTTGGAAACATCTGGAGAAACCGAGGTTCTCCAGAGTGAATACCTCGTTTTCCAGCCAAAATTCTGACTCGCCCTGAACAAAGTGAGTATTCGAAGCAGAGTCAGATTATGATAAGCAAAAAAAACAAGCTCATACAACACGGACCTTTACAAAGGTCGCCTTGCCTATGCTTGGTTAAACTGATCTACCAGAACTTTTTGACAGGGTCCAAGTCCTCAGTTGTTCAGCTGCTCCCTTTTTCCCCTTTTTTTTGGTAGCTGCCCCACTAAAAGTGGTCTTCCCAAAAAAGGGTTCCCTTTTTTTCCAGGGTCACTGAACAACTGAGAGTCTGTGAGGAAATCCTGCAGATGATGGAGCACAATCCGGAGGAGACAGGCCAGGTCTGTGACACGTCAGGGCTCGGCTGACTGTGTCGGTCCCGAGAGCTGATCGCTTGCACTTTGCAGTTTAAGTAAAATGGCGTCCAGAATCAAACATAGTCTTTGGGGGGCAAAATATAGCTAAACTGGATCACTTGAAGTAAACTTGATTTGGCTCTCAAAATTGCTTTTGGGGATGTTCCTTTACACCACTTGGAGGGTGCTTGCAGTTTAACCTGTTGTTCCCCTTGTTTGTTTTGGATAAACAGATTAGCCCCTTGATGATGTCCCTTTCAAGGGCATGTCCATGTGCGGATATACCACCAAGAAAAGCTTGAGCAGTATATACCCCTTAAATGAATGATATATCACCTCCACACCTCCAAAAACTTGACTTCTGGCTTACTCTTTTTGTTTTACTCTCCCTCCCAGTGGGAGGGTATTTGGAAGCCAGCCTACCTGCTAGGCGCCATGCTAGTGGGTGGAAAGGTAGCATCACCTTTTGAACAATTGATTGAGTTTCCCGTTGGTAGGCCGATGTTCAAAGAGAGTGACGGGCTATATGAGTCCCCACCAAGTCGGATTGCTTCAGCCGTCTGGACCTTTTCAGCATGTCGAATCAGTTGGAAGCGGGGACATTCGTAAAACCAATTTTCTGTGTATACATGTGGGTGTCAAAATCCAAAACGGCGGGTTGTCTTTGGGTTTCCCTTTACAACCAGCCAGATCTCGTTGGGACTCACAAAAACCGACGCCCATGGGTAGCGCGAGTCTCCGCAGGCGCTATGCACCCCTTGCCCCAGTGTCTGGAGAAGGACGCAGGCCGGCCTTGGGCGAGGATTTTTTTTGGTCGGGGGCAACTAGGAAGTGGAGGCCAACGAAGTACTCTCTGGGCCCTCCGAGTAGTGCCCTTCTACCCTGTTTTGGGGGAGGGTTCCACTACTCTCTAGGTGTTTGGAGGTTTGGAGGTTTGGACCTTAGGGTGCCATACCGGTGGGAGAGCATGTCCATTTGCCGATTGACGAAGTTTGCTTATTTGGAGGGAATCTCTTCCGGGGGCTGATGTCTGGATGAGACATTCTCGGCAATTATAAGGGGACATACTTGGTACTTCTGGGGCTGGTCTATCT